CCTGGGCAACTTGGTGAGACCTCATCTTTACAATAAATCAAAAAATTAGCCGGGCATGGTAGCACATGCCTGTAGTTCCAGCTACTTGGAAGGCTGAGGCAGAAGGATCGCCGGAGCCCAGCAGGTCGAAGCTGCGGTGGCCAGGAGCATGACACTGCATTCCAGTCTGGGTGACAGAGTGAGAATCCAACTCAAAAAGTAAAATAAAATAAAATAAATAAAAAGTGGCTTTGGTATACTTAACCCTGAATTGTACGCTACATTTTAAAAATAAAATTTTTTAAAAATTTTTTTGAATAAATAAACAAAAACTTGTTTTGTTTCTGAGTTGGAGTCTCACTCTGTTGCCCAGGCTGAAGCACAGTGGCACAATTATGATTCACTACAGCCTTGACATACTGGGTTCAAGCAATCCTTCCTGGGTAGCTGGGACTACAGGCATGCACCACCATGCCCAGGTTTAAGCAATCCACAGCCTCCTGGGTAGCTGGGACTACAGGCATGCACCACCATGCCTGGCTAATTTTTTGCAGAGACAAGTTCTCACTAGGTTGCTCAGGTTAGTCTCAAACTCTGAATTCAAGCAATCCTCCCACTTTCAGCCTCCCAAATTGCTGAAATTACAGACATAAGCCAACAAGTCTGACTCATTATAGGAGTTTTCAAAGGCTACTCAAGTAGGAGAATGCCTAGACAGTGTCAGAAAGAAAAAAAGCAAAATATAAAACAGAATACAAAGCCGGGCTCGGTGGCTCAGCCTGTAATCCCGCGCCCTGGGAGGCTGATGTGAGTGGACTGCCTGAGCCTGCAGGTTCGAGACCCACCTGGGCAACTTGGCAAGACCTCATCTCTACAATAAATCAAAATATTAGCCAGGCATGGTAGTGCGCGCCTGTAGTTTCAGCTACTTGGAAGGCTGATTTGGAAGGTTTGCCGGACCCCAGCAGGTAGAGGCTGTGGTGGCCGGGAGTGGCCACTGCACTCCAGTCTGGGCAACAGAGTGAGACTCCAACTCAAAAAAACAAAAACAAAACAAAACAAAACAAAAAACCAGAATATAGCATGATTACAAACTATTCTTTTAAAAAACAACATGCAGAAACTAGCTGGGCTCAGTGGCTCACGTCTATAATCCCAGCATTTTGGGAGGTTGAGGCAAGAGGATTACCTAAGCCCAAGGGTTTAAGACCAGCCTGGACAACATAGCGAGACCTCATCTCTACAGTAAATCAAAAAGTTAGCTGGGCATGGTGGCAGACACCTGTAGTTCCAGCTACTTGGAAGAATGAAACAGAAGGATCGCCTGAACTCAGCAGGTCAAGGCTGTGGTGGCCATGGGCATGCCACTGCATTCCAGCCTGGGCAACAGAGTGAGACTCTGACTCAAAAAAAATATATGTGTATAGAAACTTACCAAATATTTACCAAAACATTTATAGTAGTAATACCTGGACAGTAAAACTATGGAAAATATTAGTTATTTCTACTCTGTTTAGTTTTTCATGATTTTCTAAAATGATGAGTATAAACCACTTCATAAATAAAAAAAATACATGTGATTTTAATAGGTAGGACTAGATTGTGATGTACAACTCTGAAAACAAAAACCTATGAATTGTATACTTTAACTGGGTCGATTTTATGTGAATTATGTATATATCTTAAAGTTGTTAAAAATATGTTATCTATTTAAATCTTTATTGCCAAGAACACCACAGAAAAGAAATGCAAAGGAGCTGGAAAGAATGTGAGATCATCCAAGCCAGTGCTCCCATTCTACATATAAGAGAAAAGTTTTGGCCCAAGCCACCAGTATACTAGTGGTCAAACCTAGACTGGGATTCAGGCATCCTCCCAATCCAGTGTTTTATAATACACTGCTGCTTCCATTCAGACAAAAGGAGAGAGCTAAAATTTAATTAACCTTCATCTGATTAGCTACTTTGGGGAGGGGGCAGTGGCAAGTTCATTTAAAAAAAAAAATGCTGCCCCAAAATAAAATTTTCTGAAGGAAAATTGTTTCTGAGAGTAAGAGTGAAATCAGTAGAAATTTATGCAACAGATTGGTGTTTTTATATTTGCTAGAAAGCCTTAATAACTATACTTCATTGATAAAATAGGCATGCCTGCGATCACTAAAATTGCTGAAACTCAGTAACTTGGACAAAGCTGGATAGATGACTTCCAAGTTTCCATCCTAACCAAGAGTTTTCATTCTAAATGAAAAGTCAATATTACAATTCAACTACAGCTGCAATCTGTAAATATCTACTTTCAGTACTGAGATATTCTCAGACAGAGCCTGATACAGACACACATTACAATGAATTTCCCCACAAAGGTGTTTCAAAGACAGCGTGAGTTCAGGGTCTGCATAAATTATGAGAAAGTATATTAATAATGGCTGAATATTTAAAACTCTAAACGTTAAATTATCTACCCTGAGATTGGCAAACACACAGTCATCACTCACCCTCCTAACTTAATTCATATTTAACACATTAATTTAAAAATTCCTTACCATAAAGAACAAACTGGATGGATGTGTGCACTAATTATTTTAGCAATGCCTCTTGTCAAGAAATCCCAGATGACAATTCGGCCATCATTACAGCCAACTGCAAGTAGTGTGCCCCATCTGTTAAAAGTGCAAGTCAGGGCCATGCTGATACAATCCAAAGTTCCATCAGCTTCCTAAAAGTTCAGACAAACACAAGAATATAGACAATAATAGCCAGGTATCCAACTTACTTCCTAAAGGTTCTCTATCGTTTATAACACTTATATTGAATTTAATTAGAATGTACACCAAAATAATCTCTATGTGTCTTCACCTATTAAAATAGTCAAAATGAAGAAATATTTATACATGCTAACAATGGACTTTTGGAAACAGATATGATCAATCCCTTACATTACAACTGCAATTTTGTACAAACTTTCTGGAGGACAAATGGGCAAAATAAAACAGAATTCATTTAAAAAGTCATACCTACTGACCCACTAATCACAGTGTCTGGGAATTTATTCTAAGAAAAATAATTTAAAACAAAAAACCCTGGAATAGCCTATATGTATAACAATAAGAAAGTCAAATTATTTCATCTCAATATCAAGTCATTTAATATAACTACCATGGCTATACTAAAATATATACAAGTGTTACAAAATATTTACACTTAAGTAAAGCACACTTATAGCATACATATTATTACTAAGTAAAAGTACTGGCCAGGCTCAGTAGCTCAGCCTGTAATCCCAGTATTTTGGGAGGCTGAGGCAAGTGAATTGCCTGAGCCAATAGGTTCAAGACCAGCCCGGGAAACTGGCAACACCTCATTCTCTACAATAAAAAATAAAAAATTAGCGAGGCATAGTAGTGCGCACCTGTAATTCTGGCTACTTGGAAGGCTGAGGCAGAAGAATCGCCAGAGCCCAGCAAGTTGACACTGGGGTGGTCATGAGCATGCCACTGCACTCCAGCCTGGGCAACAGAGTAACTCCAACTTTAAAAAAAAAAAAAAAGAAAGAAAAAATACTGATCAAAACTAGAAAAAAAAAAAAAAAAAACCAAAGTAGAGGCGATGATGCTGTTTGTGAAAACCTGTTCAATAAAACTGTTTGTTTTTTTTTTCATTTAGAGGAAAATAAGACTATAAGACTACAACATTGGCTGGGCGCAGTGGCTCACATCTATAATCCCAGAACTTTGGGAGGCCAAGGTGAGACGACTGCTGAGCTCATAGGTTTGAGACCAGCCTAGGCAACTTGGCGAGACCTAATTGGCTTGGCTAAATTAAAAAATTAGCCTGGCGTGGTGGCACGTGCCTGTAGTTCCAGATACTTGGAAGGCAGAGGTGGGAGGATCACCTGAGCCCAGCAGGTCAAGGCAGCAGTGGTCCTCAGCATGCCACTGCACTCCAGCCTGGGCAACAGTATGAGATTTCAACTCAAAAAAAAAAAAGACTAAGCCGGGCTCGGTGGCTCAGCCTGTAATCCCGCGCCTTTGGGAGGCTGAGGTGAGTGGATTTGCCTGAGTCCGCGGGTTTGAGACCCGCCTGGGCAGGCGAGACCTCATCTCTACAATAAATCAAAAAATTAGCTGGGCGTGGTAGCGTGCACCTGTAATACCAGCTACTCGGAAGACTAAGGCAGAAGGATCGCCAGAGCCCAGCAGGTCGAGGCTGCGGTGGCCGGGAGCGGCAACTGCACTCCAGTCTGGGCGACAGAGTGAGACTCCAACTCAAAAATAAATAAATAAATAAATTGCTTCTCAAAAAGCCTGGCATATTTCTAAGAACAGTAAATAATGTAATAAATGTTTAGGGTATCATTTTGATTGAAAAAGTCTGGGAACAAAACAGAACATAAAACATGATCTTTATTTGTGATTATATTTACATGTCTAACAAAAATAAAGGAATATTGCCAAGGGTCAAATCTGAATGGAAGGATGATTTCTCTCATATAAGTTTTTGTATTTTCTCAAATTGTGTTCAAATTATTTGTACCAGAAGGAAAAAAAATCAGTAAACTATTTTAGTCTATCTGTATGTAATTCAGAACATCAGCAGGACCCTTGGGAGTGAAGTGGCCACACGCAGCACTCACTCTTTCAGCCATCAGGGTACTACTCACTCTCCTTCTTAGCTGAGTCAGTGAATTCACCACTGGCCTCATGTGTGTGTCCCTTCCAGCCCCTCTGCTCCTCTCCTGCGTGATAGCACATGCCTGTAATTCCGGCTACTTGGAAGGCTGAGGCGGAAGGATCGCCGGAGCCCAGCAGGTGGCAGCTGCGGTGGCCGGGAGCGGCCACTGCACTCCAGTCTGGGTGACAGAGTGAGACTCCAACTCAATTAAAACAAAAAATAAATAAAAGACTACAACATTATGGTAAGATTTCCAGTCAATATTGCCTATCCATTTCCCCCTGCTCAAAATTAAATATTTAATTCCTTATCATAGAAAAAAATATATTATTGTATTTAAAGCTTCTTTATTAAAAAGCATTTTTCCATTCTAACATAAACACCAGACAATTACCATGTTCCTAAAATCACGATAAAACTGTACTCTTACCTCCGGATAATTCTGCCCAAAGGACTCTGCAACAAAGCAAAGAAAGAGTTGATGGAACATGTACCACATACTAGGGATCATACAACTCATGAACAGTATGCAGCAGTGGTTGGAGAAGCGAAAGAGAACTGATGGCCTTTCAGGGACTCCATGAGGTCACACATATTTTTATTACGATATATATATATATTTTTTTTTCTTTTTTTTTTGAGTTGGAGTCTCACTCTGTTGCCCAGACTGGAGTGCAGTGGCCGCTCCCGGCCACTGCAGCCTTGATGCACTGGGTTCTGGCGATCCTTCCGCCTCAGCCTTCCGAGTAGCCGGAATTACAGGCATGCGCTACCATGCCCGGCTGATTTTTTTTTTTTTTAATTTATTGTAGAGATGAGGTCTCGCCAAGTTGCCCAGGCGGGTCTCGAACCCGCGGGCTCAGGCAATCCACTCACCTCAGCCTCCCAAAGCACGGGATTACAGGCTGAGCCACGGAGCCCGGCTTATTATGATATTAAGATTCCTTTTTTACTCTATTATCTCACAAGCATACAGATGAGTTCTCCTGAGGATATACGCTCCGTGATACTTAACAGAGTAAATGCAGACGCAGATGTGAGAACCCAGCTAACTTCTACTTAGGTGACCACTGAAGAGATTTGTAAAAATGTAAAACACTGCCATTCTTCTCAGTAAGTAAATTTTATTTTCTAAAAGAAAACTACTATTTATATAAACATGCAATAGATTTATTATAGCTATTTTTAGATTATTAGCTTTAAAAATACTATCTTAGTTTAAACTTCTAAATTGACAGACATTAGTAGATATAACCGACATAAACAAAAGCCCTTTAGGGGTCCTCAACTTCTTTAAAGTATAATGGGAATCTAAGACCAAAAGTTTGAGAAGTGCTGACATATCCAAGTATAGCCATAGTCTTTCTCCACCACACCCTCTGAGCATGTCACTATCTACTTTCATATTTACTAAAATGAACAGTAAGGAAAGGCAAGATCAAACCAAATCAAATTATCTCAACTACTCTCTGAAACCTTTATTCACTGCAGAAAATGCTCCTCTTCCTGACTAATAATAACATGTAGGTTGTAACATAATCTGGCAGCTAATTAAACACAAAATTCTCTATATTCATTTCTAACAATCCTATCACAGTAGATGCTGAAAAACATTTGTTAAAACTCAACAGCCATTTCTAACAAAATAGAAGACTACAGAATTGAGTTTTAAAACAATTTACCCAAAACACAAATATTCCAAAATATTAAAACCATTTAAATTAATATCAGTAAATAGAAGGGATATATCACCATTATTGGTCAATATTATCTTGGATGGTCTAGTCAATGAAATAAGGTCAGAAAATAACTGGTTTAAACACTGAATATAAAGAGATAAAACGATTTCTCTTTTGCTAATATCATTAAAAATCTAGAAAATACAAGAAACTAGCCAGGCATGGTAGAACATGCTTGTAATCCCTGCACTTTGAGAGGTAGAGGCGAGGATTGTCTGAGCCCAGGGTTTCAAGACCAGTTTGGGCAACATAGGAGACCTCATCTCTACGATAAATCAAAAAATTAGCTGGGCATGGTGGCATGCACCTGTCGTTCCAGCTACTTGGAAGGCTGAGGCAGAAGGATCGCCTGAGCCCAGCAGATTGAGGCTACGGAGGCCGTGAGCATGCCACTGCACTCCAGGCTGGGTGACAATGAGACTCCGACTCAAGACAAAAAGAAAAGAAAAAAGAAAGCACAAGAAACTAAGAAAAAATACACACAAATTAAAAAGAGATTAAGAAAAGTGGCTTGATACAAGAAAAATATTCAAATATTAAAAGTTTTTCTTTACATTAGCAACTAGCACCCAGAAATGGAATTGAGGGAGAAAATTCCATTTACAATGGCTACAAACATACAAAATTTTTTTTTTTTAAGTTGGAGTCTCACTCTATCGCCCAGACTAGAGTGCAGTAGCTGCTCCCGGCCACCGCAGCCTCGACCTGCTGGGCTCTGGCGATCCTTCCGCCTCAGCCTTCCTGCTGTAGCCGGAATTACAGGCGCGCGCTACCACGCCCGGCTGATGA